CGCCACTCATGGCCGTAAGGCCAGGACACCGCTGGTAGGCCTTGGCTGCTTATGTAGCTGTTGTAAGCAGCTGTTACGTAGCTGCTTACTTACTGTACATGGGCAATGAGACATGGGGAGACCACAAAAAAATAGTTAAGTCAGAAACACTTTAAGGACTAACAGCCCATCAAAACTACTGGGAAACAGGAACAGACGACATACCTAGCAACCTGCATATGATTATGATAATATTTAAAGAGTAAAAGAATTCAATATCTTAATTTAAATCTAGTCATGAATAATTTGCCAATAAATTAATTTTAACCAGGAAATAAATTACAAATTTACTTCAAAACATGTGGGACAATTATATGAGGATTTTTGTGACATAATGAGCAAATCCTTTCTGCATTACAAATTTATCATGAAGAGTATTTTGTCAGTGACCTTAATAAAATAAATTGATAAAAATATTGCTTCAGAATTTAATTACTCTTCCCATTGCTTATAAGAAAAGCTAACCACTTAACCAACATTTGTAGAATATATGAATCTAGGACCACAAAGCAATCTCATTAGAAGGAAGAGAGAAAGAAAGAAAAGAAAGAGAAAAAAATTATTACAATATATTTATTCTCGGTATTTTTTGTATATAAAACTTTGTTTTTATTAGATGGTTGGGCATTATTTTAATTTCAAAATCATATTAACTGAATTCTTAGGGGAACAAGGACTAATACTTTGCTTCCAACAATATTTAAATTTTTACTTGTTCATTCGGTGATCTCCATTTTTGAACCTAGTCTTAACCTATATCTACTTTATCCATTAACTTATTCAGAAATTCTAACATTTCCAACTTCAACATTTTGTCACTTAATTTTTTGAACCTTTTGTTAATTTGCTCAAGGAAAAGTTGATTCTATTATTTAGGGGCTAAAGATATCTATTTCAATTTGGTACATGAAACATTCTCTGAAAATTCATTTTAATAATTTTCTTCAGGTATTTCAATAATGTAATGTCAAATATTTCATTTCTGAAAAAATTACTTTATGTACATACCCTTAATGAGGCATTGATCAACTTCAAGGAGGAATCGCCTTTCACTTTAATAACTAGATTCATTACACCATATATAGGGGAGATCTGTCTTGCATTTCCAGGAGTATTCCCTGAAATAAATAAAGTTATTCAGTATCATTCACAAAGATTTTTTAAAAAAATACGAACCCAACATGAATTTTAAGACATTCATTGGCTCAATGTAAAATAATTTTTAGGAATTGTAAAAGAAATGTTTCCAGATTTTTTTAAAGAAAGTAAAACAACAGTAGCTGGACCAGTGTAAAAACTCTGCACTTTGTAAATAATTGTTTTAAATGTGAAAATTACTTTTTAAGAGAATCCAACTTTGGATGCCAGCAATAGTGCATTACAACATTATTGGTCCATAGAGTAATCACTCTGATTTTTCTTTCTAGTTTAATCTCGATGCTTAGCAATATTAATCAGTTCCTTTAATTTTATTCAGGAAGATGATTTCTGACTTTTTCCTTCAATTTAAATTTAAACAGATTTCAGGTTTCTGACCTTTTCTGCCCATCCATTCTATGAAGTGCAAGCACTCAAAAGAAATAATTCTTCATAAATGTCATAGAAGTTTTACAAAAGTGTACCACACCTTTCCGCCTTTATTTTCCCTGCCCTTCATTTCACTACCTGTCAACCATTTCACCCCTGCCACCCGTTTCACTACCAAAGAGTCAAATCCCTACAATCCCACACAACTCAGGTCCCTTAGAGGACACTAAAATCTGGTTTTAGGGAGCTATGAAGCATTGTGTTGCAAAAATTTGTTTTTTATGTCATATTCTGCAAATTTCAATTTTCTTATCTTAAATCTGTTGGATGCAGTACTGAGGAATAATAATAATTTTCTATACAGCAGTAGCTCATTTAAAAGTTTTGTGTTGATGATTTCTAGTAAACTGTCAAAAACTGTTGTCTATCCTCAGCGTATTATTTATAGGTAGAATTATGTAAACTGGTTCCAGATATATTAAGTTACTTAAATGGTTGGCAAAGGGTTCCTAAATGATCCAAATTGTGAAAGAATTTTCCTCAATAAATCTAGGATAGTTACAATTGTTTCTACCCTTTAACTTCATTTCTAAATAATTACAGGTATTTTTCAGCTTAAATTGTGAACTGCAATTCCAATGAACTTAGTTCGAGCTGATGTCACTAGATGTTGATGTGGAGAGCCTGTTTCCAGCTCTAACCCGACTGTCTCAAAGTGAAGTGCAATGTTAACATTGCATTTTAGGCGGGAGGGGAAGGTAGTTAAAAATCTCCTTTAGCCCAGGTAAGTAGCAAGTCTTTTACTATAAACAATAACAAAATGTATGACTCCATTCAATTATTATTTTTCATGAGAAATGTGTACATATTTTAATTCTGCAACAAATGCTTGTACTGTCAATGAAACTTGCTTGTTTCTTGAGGCTAGGAGTTGCTTCCCTCCTTCCACTCTCCCTTAGCACTTTCCTGCCTATTCATTTTAACTTACATCGATTCTGGTTATTTGTTGAGCGAAAATCTTTTGTCAAAGAGTGAATATAAGCAAAGCGTTCATAATATGACTCCTGTTGAGATGCTACCATATTATGTCTCAAATCACCAGTGCTGTGATTCCACATAGGGTAACGTAGAATACAAAGATCTCCTACGTGAAGACTCAATCCCTCCTTTTCTTCTTTGGACTTGAGAGGCACTACAAACATGAAATTTAAAATAGTATACAGTACTTTTATACATTACAATATTTGTACATAATTCTAAATTACAAGATCAATAAAAAAAATTAATCACCGTAGGCACTTACTAGAGCAATTCAGGGTAACAATTCCATTCGCATCCTTGCTCTCAAGTACTGTAATATCATATTTTCTTTTCATCCTAAAACAGAAACAACCAAGCTAATTTCTCATTACAATTCCAAATAACACTGTTAAATTACTATCTGCATTTCACATGCAATCAATCATAAGTTTTGAGATCAAAGGTATAGAAAATGACTAAAAATATGAGATTTTCTTTCCTAAAAAATTAATATTCATTTTGTCATTTGATACTTTAAATCAATGCTTGTCACAAAATCAATTCAATATTTCTATTGTATACAGCAATAAGAGCCACCTTAAAACAATTTCAATAAAGTATAGTAGGTTCTAAAGCATATGTATCTCCTATGCAGTCGTAGTTTGATGTATTTGGAGGTCTGTCAGTCATTTCTTATATTTTGATTAGTTAAGAATTTTTCAAGTCAGGCAAAGTGTTAGTAGGATAGAAGTTGTAATATTGCATAAAAAATATAAGTGATCAACAGTTAGTATCAACACTTTTTCCTGCTGTTTTGAAGTGTAATATGTAGAGATAAGATATGCCACATTTCATTATAATCCAGGGTTGTTTTTTTTTTCTTCTTACATTTCACGTGGTCATAGTAATACCTTATGAATCACATAATTTACTGTCATTCTTGCTTGTCAGGCTAGCTGACTGATCAATTCCCAAGGTCCTTCATCAGTTCCCCTTTCGTATTTTCTCCATTATCCCCAATCCGGCTCTCAGGCCTCTCAGGTTGTATCAGTAAAGCTTTGAACACCATAAGGGTCTAACAACAGTGGGAAACAATATTGCAATTTTCAATATGGTATAATGAATGGTGCCGATCCGGTGGCCGAGATCGCTAAGGCAGTAGTGCCGTAGCGCTCTCGTACCGAAAGATCGCGGGTTCGAGTCCCGCCTCGGGCGTGGTTGTGTTCGTCCTTTCACCCCTATCATCATCATCATCATCATCATCATCATCATATCAGGGAAGGCAACGGCAAACCACCCTGAATAACTTATCGCAAGAAAACCCGCTATGGGTCACCTAACTTCTCCGTATATGGAAGATAGGACCAAAGAAGAAGATAATGAATGGTTGTGGACTTTATAGATGCATGTTTTAATAAGGGACAATGAACTCATTCAGGATATGTTGAACTGTGACCAGGCTGTGACCGTGGAAGTAACTAAGGTTCGAATAAAATTAGGATGTACTCGATATTTGTGGTCATCGTGAAGACGCCAGCAAGCTAGTTTGACTCTCTCTGCCCTGAGGAAAGCCTGCGCATGTCACTTGGGCGAACGTGCGGAAACGAAGATTTTGCGAAACGTCGGCCTCTCTAGCCAACGATCGGCGGCGACTCTCGGTAGCCAGAATTTATCGTTGATTGTTATTGCCTACTGGTATCGATTTGACAGTGATGTCTTCTGACATGCCAGAAGCATGTGGCAAACGCGGCCGAGACCGTCCGAGGATTCATCCGGGGAAAGGAAATCCGGTCGATGCATCCCTCTGAAAGGACAATTCCACGAAAATTGTTTAAATGTTTGTGATTACTTTGAGAGGGAGAAAAAACACTGGTGGGGACTCTTGTTACCCCTTTTAAAAGCAATAGAGCCAACATCTAATGCTCTGAAATGGCACGTAAACACAGTAATGAAGATTGGGCGAGAAAACCAGGATAAAAAACACTATATTTTTTATCTGTGCGCACGATGTATTTTCATATAAAAATTCTCTCAATGTTTGTTACTTTGTCATGTAACAGTGTAGTTTCGGAATACTTGGCGAAGGATCAGAAAAGGTACGTCGTATTTATGATTTCTTTCACTTGTTACGCGTTTCTCAAAATTTCTTTCATCTGTTTGCCTATACTTGGGTTTTTATAACTTGACGGATGAGTGCAAGTCTTCACGATGGAATATCCCATGGTATTTCGCATCTTTCTTGGTCGTGCCGATAGATATCGCATGATAGCGAGCAGCGCTGGCTCACGCAAAATGCTGTGAGATATTTCATCGTGAAGACAGGCTCTCATGCGCCAAAGGTATAAAAGCCCAAGTACAGTTACACTTCGATTTATTTAGAGCTGCACTTGGCAGGTCGTCAGCTGTTACGGTGTCATCAAATTGGGAGCCTACACATCACTTCTGCACTCATCCGTCAACCTCCCGATTGGATGACACAGCAATAGCTGATTTACATCAGGGTTGGTTAGTTATCGTAGTAATTGAAAGCGCGCAATATGCGGCAACGTCGCCCCCTCTACACCCAAGTGGCAACTACATTATAAGTCCATTCGTAATGTAGGAGGCGGAAGAACCCCCAAAAAACACCACGGACGCTGACGCAGAAACCATGCTTCCCAAGTGCCTCGACTGCTTTGAATAGCAGACTGAAGTAGCTCTTACTGCTTCAAAGATCACAAATGACATTAGCCAAAACAGCATTCAACCTGCTAAAAAAACAAGCGACTTTTTCAAACAATAACGTTACATGCGTTTTTGTAGTCAATGAAATGTTAAGATTATAGCTATTAACATACCTATGGTACTAAGACATTTCGTGGTATGTTCAGCATTTTATCGGTCACTATAAAATCTCACGATTTATGCGAAACTTTACATTACTATTACTCGTGAAATTAAAACTAATAGTGTTTAACTGTACATATAAAATGTCCCAATCACGGCGGTGTATCTCCAAAGTTTATCGCTTTTTCTATCCGTTCTCCTAATGGCCAATTATAAACTGTAAATCATGACGATGACGATGTCCAATAAACCGCGTATGTAATACTATTACATGATCTGTTTGATTTTAAAATAGCTTTCAGTAATTTCCAATATTTGGCGCATTTTAGAACTTTGTTGGACGTAATTTTATTCGTGGAATAGTCCTATTAAATACCACTCGTGCTTTGAAAATTCTCAGATAAAAGCCTGCGGCAGGTTAGTACAACAATGTTGGGGCGTTGCTTGCGATATATCTATTCCAATACAAACTATTATCATCAATGTTATAATATTCGTATACCGTGGTGCGAGAAAGTTGGATGCAAATAATTCTGAGCCTAAGGTACATAAAGAATAGACTTTCGATAAGGAAGTTTGCGCAACGACTTCCATTGGCGACACCTTCACATCGTCAGTAAATATTACCGGAGAAGTTTTAATTGGCGGAATGCCAGGAAAATTAGGTTAATTTACCCAATAAACATTTTTCTAAGGTCGGCACCTGAACAAGATGGCCGACGCGTTAAAGTTCCCACTTTGGAGCTAACCTGTACGCCGGGAAAACACCCGCAGGGGTGAAAGGGGGCCAAGGGTAGATGCCCGAGTAAGCCGACCGCGCGCCCGCGGCGAATTGTACTGTTAAAATTACAAGAACCATAATTCTCCAAAAAACTATTATGAGTTACATTGATGAAGATGTTAAGTTTCAGTTTAATATATAGGTAGTACAAGTGCCCTTAACAGACCTGTAGTGTTGCATGTTTAATGAGTTAAAGACGCATGTCACAGATGAAGCTTTTTAAAATGCCAATGTGGGTTTTTAAAACAAGCAATAAATGTGATTTTCTCTTAAAAATATCTCTTCTCGTAACCGATTATTCGATTAACCTTCAAGACTTGGAACTGAAGTCCTACTATACAGCCCTCAACTCTTACTTAATGGATGAAGGAAGCCTTGAGTAGACAATCAGATAAAGAGATGCGGCGTTTGATTCATGTTTCTAGACATGTCAAAAGCTATGTTCATTAGTGCAATAAATGATTTATCCCTCGAGGTGGCGGCAATTCCTTCCCCGCTGAAAACAGATCCGGCTCCGTCCTAAACGTCGGCTTCTGTCCGGCGGGGGAAAAACAGCGCCATCTTTCGCGATAAAAGTACGAACTACTTCGGGACCACTGACCTTAGAACTAGTCGCGCCCGGAAACAGTAAACAATCAAACTAACCATGGTACCTCAATACAGTTCTATATATATGAAAATAATGGGACAAAAATATGTATTAATTTTTTTAACATGGCGCACCAATCAGAAAAAAAATTCTATAAGATAGTTGATTTTTAGGGCAACATAAGAATTTTCTCGTGCACCGGGCGAAATTAAAACTAGCATTTAAAAAAAAAACTCGTCCTAAATGTCCTTTGAAAAATTTTGAACCGTTTTAAAGAAAATGGCGCTTATGAGCTACAGTAAATTCGAAATTTGAAGCACTTTATCACAGAAAATTTTCGAGATTTCGCAAAACTTCATTAGAAGTAATTTGAAACACTAACTCACAAATACAATTGTGTTTGCAAACTGCTGGAAACGCGTATACTTAAAACTCATATTAAAGAGTGCAATTAGCACTATCCTTTCAAAAAGTTTGAAGAAAAAATTTCGAGCTGTTTTTGAGAAAATGGCATTTGAGCGTTTCTCAAAATGCGGAATTTGGAGCAAGTTTTCACATAAAACAGTTGTTTTCGAGAAACTTAATGTGGCATTATTTAAAGCACTTCTACACATAAATATGAGAACAAATTATCATTAATATAAATATTAACGACGTGAGAGAAGTCAATAAAATTAAATTTTTGTAATTTTTAAAATACAAAAGATTAGAGTGATATTGCGTTTATGTCATCTTATAGGGTGCAGTTAACACAACGTATCAAAAATTTGGAGCTGTTTTTGAGAAAATCTTGCTTTAAGTGCACAAATTGCTTGAAAACTATTAAATTTTTCAAAAATATGTACGTGACCTTCACGAAAGAACTCACTATTGAGATCAATATTCAAATGAAGGAAAAATCTTTATCTTCAATTTTGTAGTTGTAGGAAGACGCAGAAAAAAGGAAACTTTAGCAATTTTCGAAAATTCAGAGTTAACAGTGAAAATCCGACTTATGCCACCTTTGTAGGTGTATTTTACTCTATTCTTACAAAGAATTTGGAGCCGTTTTTGAGAATTTTGAAAATGTCGCAGAGACTTCATGTAAATTACCCCAAATTATAAAGAAAGTTTTTCAAAATCTCAAAGTTTCAACTCAACCCAGATGGATAGCGTTTCTTC